TTCTGAGATTTAGGGGGGTCAAGTTGACCGCTCACCCGAGCGAAGAGTATCCCACTAGCCATCCGGGCGCATGTAAAACTACGCGAAAATGCGCGCGCATGCAAACGAAGTTATGTAACCAGGCATCACCTATGACGCACCATTCATACACGCAAATGGGCTCAATTAAACGGGCATCGCGCATGACATTTCAGGCATCACGCATACATGTACATGATTTTGGGCTAGCACGCACCACACACATGTGATGCGCGCCAGCTTAAAATCAAGGCCCCCTTCCCTACCCGGCGAGGGGCCCCTTTAATTAAAAGGACACATTGTTGTTATCGGTCAAGGGCTGAAGGAAGGACCATTCCGTCCCACCGCGGGGTATCTTCCGGCTGTCATCGCGATGACACGGGGCGGGATCTCCCGGTCGATCCGAAGGCCCTTAGAGCGATACGTCATATCACATTGGTCCCTCCCTGACGCGAGAGACCTGCGCGGTTGGTTGCCATGTTGGCACAGGAAGCCTCATTGACATTAGATCCTGATCGCTGCAGGGTTCAATAATTGGCGCATAGACTCCAGTTCGGCTTAACGGGCCCATACTGGAACTGGGTTGAGGGGCCCGCCGTTCGGTATTGGGGGGCTCAGACTGGCACAGGAGCCTTCCATTGTCTCATTGTGAACATTCATCATAACCTGTCATGCTTCCTTTCGCTGTCAAAGGGCGCTGACCAACGCAAAAGGCCATCTGGCATTCGGAGTCCCCTTCAGGTCCCTGTTGAGCAAATGTTCCCCTGGTCGATTTGAGGCCCCTTGTCGGCATAGGACACTCTGGCAGGCACTGTGTGCCCCTGAACAGCGCGGGAGCCCCGCATTGTTGCAAGAGCCCGACCAACGTAAATCGCGAGCCTGGCCTTGCTCGTGTTAGGGAAATGGTACACCAGGGTAGCCGACTATTCGGTGTTGTGATCTCTGGCCAAAGCAGAGGGCCGAACTGTCACAGCGGTCTCCAATCGATGCAAGAGGCCCTCTGACTGACATTTGAGGTCACGGCCTTACGAGTGGGGTGGAACGCCCTTAATGTAACCTACGGCCAGTCCTTAAGCCCCTCCAGCCTCCCAATCGGGCCCTTGGTTTTGGTAGCAAGGGGCCCTTCGGCCCCTCTCCGAACCTCCTCATACAAAGCCCGTGACCGGCTCGTGGCCACTAGCCGACACAGGGACCCTGTTAGACACTGTGGCCCCTGACGGACACAGGGGCCCAAACCGTTGTTTCAGGGACCCAAGTTAATACAAATCGTGGCCCCCCGGCCTTGATCCCGCTTAAGAAATAGACACCAGGGTTCAGCGTGAGAGGGAGCCAAGAGTTCGGCGTTGGTTGCTTCTGGCCAAGTTAGACACCCGCGTTGACTCATGGGGTCCTCCAACAGTACAACAGGACCTCAGACTGATATTTCAGGTCCCGACCCCACGGGTCGCGATTCTTTATGTAACCAGCCGTGGGGGCAGCCTTTAGGCCCCTTACGCCCTCCAACTGGGCCCTTGATCATCGATTTCGGTGGACTGCCCGGGCCCCTCTTCGAGCCTCACCAAACACTGCCCTTGGTCGGCTCGGGCCCCTTCCAAACACAGGACCCCCTGTTAGGCACTTTGGGTCTTTTGACAAATGCAGGGGTCCGACCAGTGCACATCGCTGGCTCTTGCTTTTTAGTTGATCGGGAAGTGGGCCCTCGGTCCAATACGGACACAGAGCCTCCTGTCCACTGCTGGTGGTGCCTGACCGACATAAAGACCCTTACCGACTCAGGGGTTCCCCATTCGGCCCAAAAGGCCCCTTGACTATCATTTGAGGGCCCGTCCCTTGCCAACACAGGGGGCCCGTCCCTTGCCAACACAGGGCCTTTTTTAGGCCCTGTGGGGCCCTGACAGACGCTGGGACCCCAACCAAAATAAATCTTCGGCTTTGTTCATGTATGGGAAATGGGCCCTCGGACTCATGCTGACACAGAGTCAATTATGCGTTACTGGTGGTGCCCGAATGACATATAGGCCCTCATTTACTCAGAGACCCATTTCGGCGGCTGGGGGTCGTGTTCTAGGGCCCGGCCCTGCGGGCCAGGCCCCAGAATACGACTCCCATCTGGCCCTTTAGACCCTTAAAGGGATCATGCCACCCTTTTGTACTTTCGCTTGTTTCTTTATATCAGACGCGTATGACTTTATCACTAATGCCAGTTTTCTCGAAATAAACCTGGCTTGCTCAGATTTTTGGCTTAAAGTAGCCGCTCCTTTGTGAGAAATATTTTGGACTCCCTGCTTACTATTCTGAATGTGATACATTTCATTTGCCTTGCATTTTCCAGCGTGTGTGTTCTGTAACATTTACATCGCACGATTGCGTCAAATGTGTATATAATAAATGTTATAAAAGCTTGCAACACTTTTTAGACAAAACAATCGCGAGCAAGACACTATTGTCCCGCGAATTTAACGAAGCGTTTTACTAAAGCTTTTGATTTCTTGTGGATAAATGGCGTTTATCACGGTGGCTTTTTCCAGACGCAGTTTGGCTTTGCGAATGAGAGTATCGTATAGTCCATAGCGACGCGTTGGCTCAAACATCAAGCAATGCGCTTCTCGGTAACAGGTCCTTGCCGCTTGCTGGGCCAATCTCAAACGTTCTTGTATTTGCACCAATATAGGTGTTACGGGGTTGTCCTGTCCTATCTTGTACTGGCCTTGAAGTCTCCTTGGACCCGACGGCCCCACAGCTAACAACAGGCGGCGTTCAACGCGCGAGCCATGACGACCACGCATTTGCTTTATTCCGTCCTTGTTTCTTTCCTCCTTTCCATTTTCCGCCCGCCACCTGGTGTCAGCTGTGGCGGTTAACACGCGCCCGGGTGGCCGGCTAGATACCCTTCGTTTGAGTGGGGGTTAATTTGACCCCCCTGAGATCTCAAGAACTAAGAAAGCTAGAGACGACTAGGTCATAATATTTGGGTCAAAAAGGTCAAATAAGGTCAAGTTCCAGGTTGATCTCCAAAGTGCCCTCAGAACCTAGATAACCGTTTCTAAGCAAAAGGTCACATGCTCATTCAAGGTCAGTGACCTTGTTTGACCTTTTGAAGGTCAAGGTGACCGAAATCATACAAGATTGCTTAAAGTTTTGCATTTGACTAAGGCACAAATATTATGTTCCTAAAACAAAATGTTGACTTGGGTCATTTTAGGTCAATTAAGTATTCGGACCCCTAAGAAGCCCATGGAAGATGCATAATGCGGTTCCTGTTATTAATAAATTCGAAATGAGTACAAGAAACTATCCCATACAGCAAGCCCTAGAATAACAAAACAAGCTGGTTTTGACCTTGGTGTAACCTTCATACCTGACCTGTGGTCAATTCAACTTGCTCATTCAACTGTTGTGTTGCCTAAGAATGCATGTCAGAGAATATGGCTTCGTCTAGCACTCCGTTGTTGGATCAGATTGAAGGATTCCCTAGAAATTGCCTTCGCTGAAACCATAGTCTGATTTTGACCTGCCATAGGTCAGCGCTCTTACAAGAGACATCTCCATTTTTGATACCAAGCGATCCGCTATTCAATTGTCTACAGCTATGCAAAATGTGGCGTGGCTACACCGCGCCGTTCGGAAACCATTCTGGAAAAACCTTCGCGGGAGTCAATTTGACCCCGCCCCCCCCCCCCCTCACCCGAGCGCGTGTTAACACGGTTTGGTCCGTTAGAGACAGCAACGTCGGACATCGGTGTTTTTGCACTTTAAGATTGCGAGTGTGCATGCTTAAAACTATTTCACATATTTTGTCACTTCTCGGTCCCGAGAAAGCATGGAAATCTTCCAGCCAACATATGTTAGCCATGCCAACAAAGAAGCCATCATGACAATCCCTCGACCCGACGGCTTGGTCCACCTTATTGATTACGCATGAGAGCGCTTACTTTTCCCAGAAAGGGAAAAGTGGCGCAAATATTAGGGATCACATGATCTTTTCCCAGAAAGGGAAAAGTGGCGCAAATATTAGGGCTCACATGATCTATCACGGCTAGGGGATACAGAGTCCTTTTATTCCAGCGCTGGAAACCTACCGGCTGTCATTTTTGTAACGTAGGCCCAGGGCCTCCAAGGGCTCCTGCCCTTCTGGCGCTCAGCATATCGGTCCCCTCCTTAACGACGGAGGCCCTCTGACCGGCGCCGTCGCCCTGGATCGATGCTGGAATGGCCACTAACGATAAAGGATCCCCCCCCCCACACACACACACGCACGCACGCACGCACGCACGCACGCACGCACGCACGCACGCACGCACGCACGCACGCACGCGCGCACGCACACACACCCTTCGGTGTCGAAGGACCGCTAGCGACGCAAGCAGCATGCTGCCATTTGGGGCCTCGCCGAGCAAATACATCCCAAGCCGACTCGGGCGACTCGGGGCCCTTGCCGACACATGATCACTTGTTGGACACTTGAATGTGAAACTTGAAAAGACCCTTTTGTTCTCTCGCCAACTCCTTCCAGTGGCCTACTTCTCGGTATTCTCTTCGCCTCCCGCCAGTGGCTCTTTTCTCGGCCCCCTCTCCACCTTCCCCCAGTGGTCTTCCCCGACGTCCCTTCGTCGCCTCCTTTCGCTTCCTCTCCGTCCCCTCGCTGCCTTCTCCCAGTGGCCTCCCCTTGTCCTTTTGGACACCTCCCCGCCCCCCACCTCAGTGACCCTCCTCTCGGCACTATCGCCGCCTTCCCTCAGCGGTCAAAAAAATGACCGCGATGCCGACGCGCCCTTAAACGCTAAAGCGTTCTCGATCCCGCCGCCGCCAGCTCGCGGTGACCCTGCTCTCAGCCCTCCTGCCGTCTGCCGCAGTCAAGAGTGCGGCCGAGGCCCGGGCGGCGTGGTGCGGCCGCCGCGGGCCGTCCTTGATTGGCCGAGGCCGGCCGGCGCCAGCCGCCGGCCGCAGAGCGCGGCGAGCAGCCAGTGTGCTGCTCCGCGGCCGCGATGTGGCGCGCGCGGATGCTGCTGCTGGCGCCGCTGCTGGTGGCCGCGGCCGGCGCTGTCGCTTCGCTCGACTCCTGGGAGACAGTGCGCAACTGGAGCGTGCAGCCCGTGTGCGTGCCCATCCCGCGCAACATGAGCCTGTGTAGGGACATCGGCTACACGCGGCTCCGGCTGCCCAACCTGCTGCAGCACGACAGCCTCTCCGAGCTGGTCATGCAGTCAGCCACGTGGACGCCGCTATTGAACCTGCGCTGTGACCCGGACACCAAGCTCTTCTTGTGCTCGCTGTACGCGCCCATCTGCCTGGAGCGGCCCATCTACCCGTGCCGCAGCCTCTGCCAGAAGGTGGAGCTAGGCTGCGGTGCGCGCATGGCCGAGTACGGCTTCCCCTGGCCTGATATCGTGCGCTGTGACAAGTTTCCGGTCGACAATGACATGTGCATCAAGGCACAGTCGGGCAAGAAGTCTCCAGGTGGGTGTCGGCGATATGTCGAGGATACGCGCAAACACGCTTAAAGGTTGCTGGGCTTCATTCCTGGTTTGACACAATTTTATATGATCAAAGCTCAAAAATGGTCCGCTCTGTGAAAAAGTAAATGGGTCCCAACTTCGCCAAATCCAGGGGCAGTTACGCTCGTGGGCGCGAGCGAACTTAGCCGAGAAGGGAGAGAGAAAAAGAGAGAGAAAGAGAGGCTGGGAAGACAGGGAGACGTAGGACGTATGCATAGGGGTATGGGGACACGAAAGGTAGAACGGGGGATATGGAGGTGATGAGAAGAGACCTATGGAGGCGAGGGAAGATAAAAGACAAGACAAGATTGGGAAGACCAAGAGGGTTGCGTTGAAACGCGGGGTACGGGGAACACTAGAAAATATGTGGGAAGAACGGTGACAAGGTAGCAGTGACGTGGTACATACCGTAATCCTGACGGTTATGTGGTGACGGCTGCGAGAGAGGAATTTGCAATTATGATTATGTCATGCACAGATCTGTGCAGTCATGAATATGCGTTTAAGAATAGTACTGTATTATCATTCATATACGGGGCGTCCGCACGTGTAACCTTAGATCAGTCTTATTTTATTTACCTTAGCATGTGCATTTCATGCATGCACGTCTCATCACGTGCATCATAAAACTGCGGCACCCGATTTCAGTAGCGTGCTTCACCTGACGCACCACGTAACCGCCGCGGTGGAGACTCACGTGCGTAACAGCATCACGCACCGGCTGGCACGTGACAATGCCAGCGGTCGATTCACATCACTCTCGCGTCACTGTAAGGTGCGTAACAGCATCACGCACCGGCTGGCACATGGCGATGCCAGCGGTCGATTCACATCACTCTCGCGTCACTGTAAGGTGCGTAACAGCATCACGCACCAGCCGGCACGTGGCAATGCCAACGGTCGATTCACATCACTCTCGCGTCACTGTAAGGTGCGTAACAGCATCACGCACCGGCTGGCACGTGGCAATGCCAGCGGTCGATTCACATCACTCTCGCGTCACTGTAAGGTGCGTAACAGCATCACGCACCGGCTGGCACGTGGCAATGCCAACGGTCGATTCACATCACTCTCGCGTCACTGTAAGGTGCGTAACGGCATCACGCACCGGCTGGCACGTGGCAATGGCAGCGGTCGATTCACATCACTCGCGTCACTGTAAGCCAAGGAAGTCACTGTAAGGAAGCGCCTGGTCTGTCATCACACTGCGTCCCTCAGAAATGCGCCTGTCTTGTAGAAGATCTTGCTTTCATTGAGTCGGCGAATGTGACGACAGCAGACGCCTATCCGTCCCCTCAATGGCAGCGGTCCATTGTCATACCGTCCAGTGCTGTGGGGTCTGTGTGTGATGTGCAGTGGTGCGTTTCTGAAGACTATAGCACCCACACAACTGAATACGGGCGGTACTGGGCACACCAGTGTGTACCATGTTGGACCGGCCCGCAGTTAGCTCACTCCGAAAGAAGCGCCGGTGTTGCGAGGCTTCGCGCTGCTAGCTGACAATTGCCGGGCTTCTCAGGCCTTTTCAGACGGCATTCCATGGATCCAATATCCACATGTCTTTTCATGTAGAGCATGTCTACTGAACCGGCGGAATATCGTGCAAACGGAAACGAGAGTCTCAGATGGAGGGAGAATTTGAAGGGAGTGTCCCACCTTTTGGGCATATTTCAAAAACATGATCAAGTGAAACCTCAGGACGAGTTATGTCTAACAATGGCATCGGGTCGTGTCACGGAAGCACCGTCCAGGCATGATTAGGATATTAACTTGAATTATTTTCTATTCCAAATTAGGCTGTCAACACTTTGCAACAGCACTGCCCTTCTTTCCTGCCATTGCAGCCACCGTTGCCATGGCAGCCACCGTTGCCATGGCAGACAACGTGCGCACCTCCACAGGTGCGGATGGAAGAACGTTTGTGATTGACCCAGCGGGTAAGAGCCTGTTACCGAGAAGCGCATTGGTTGAGGTTTGGACCAGTGCGTCACAGAGTCATGTGATTCTCAAATTCCCAAAACCGAAGTGTGCCTCGAAAAGAGCCGTTGTGTTAAACGCCATAGGGGCAAAATCAAACCCACAGTGGAACGCTTCGTTAAATTTGCGGGATGATAGCTTCATGTTTGCATATCTTATTGCCTGAAAAATATGTTTGAAGCTTTCGTAGCATTTATTATACAAATGTTTTGACTCATTAGTGTGCTGCAAAAGTAACAGAACACACACGCTGGAAAACCAAGGTAAATTAGATCATTTCCTTCACATAGTGTGCAGAAAGTCAAATACATTTTACCCGCAGGATCGACTCCTTCAAATCGGATTTATCAGCTTTTCAGAAGAATTTCGAGAGTGCTGGTATTGCTGACGACATTGCATGCGTCTGCTGTAACAATAGATGAAGAGTCCAAAAAAGTGGGATATTCACTTTAAACAGCAAGCATTCAGACATGCCAGTTACGACGAAAAAGGAGCTGGATGGCAAAATTGTCTCCCTGTAAGTTCTCATCCACAAGAAAATGTATAGAACAAAGGAAAGGTGTACCGGGCTGGGCACGAGATTTGTCAACCTTTTTTGTTGTTCGACCTTTCATAAGTTACGGTTAACAGCGTCTGTCAGGTACAAAAGGAATTCGCTGAGAGACATATGGCGGCCCCGTGTGCATCCTTTGTATATTATGTTTCGGAATCTTGGTTATACATGCTCAAAAGCTTGCTCAAAAGTAATAAAGGGCTCCTTGAGTCATGTCGGCATTTAACATGCATGAAATTATACCACTGTCATTATGTCTTGGCACAAACAGATATTGCTACAGCCATACCGACAAGATAACTTTCATTACACGTTGCGACCTATAGCATCCAGCATAACCAGTCACACAGCTATATTTCGTAGCTGACGAACCGGTACCACAGCAGAAGTCAGTGGATTACTCGTGATTTTACCTTGTGTGAGAGGAGTAGCGGAGAGGATAACGCGTCTTTTAAAATATACGCTCGTGTAGCCAGCAAACCGTGTGCAAACCTTACAAGTTATCTAGTTCGCCCCAAAGATAAGTAAAAACGGACCAAACGACAGGAATAACTTACCGATACACATGTGAATGTAGAAAGACTCCTGAGGGGAAGGCTCGTAGAGGGAAGTTTGTAGAACCTTAAAGACCGGAAGGGGTGAACGCCAATGAGCAATAAGAAACGCAAATATAAACCGTGTTTTGGCTTATTGAAGCACGTTCTGTACACATGTCAATGCGTCGCGTGGAAAGAGAGGAAATTTTAGATTACGAGAATGGAGAAAAATAATGATTATATAGGGTTTTTTCATTTCTAGAACGACCAGCAAAAAACATTTGGAATATAACACCGGCAGTACCGATGGCGAGTGCATATCGAATTTTGAAATGATAGGACTAGAACAGGAAAAGAGCAGCCGTTGTAGAACAATGTGAAATAAGGGGCGCCATAGCGGTCTTCGGTTCAGGTCAATTTGCCCACGTGTACGTTATCTTGCTTTGGTGTTGCGGTATGACGTAAGGGTCGCTATTAAATCGATGCTGAAATGTGAAATAATCATGTAGAGGCTTAATGGGCACGCGTTCCTGAATCCACGGTCAATCAATCAGTCCGGAATCTGTTTCTAAAATAATCGTCTGATCAAGGCTGAAGGAGTGGATATCATCCCGAAAGCTTTCATTTAAGACCAGCAAGCTAGTCGAAACATTAGCCTTTTACATTTACTATGCTTCGGTTCAATAGTGTTTTCGAACATTTTCAAATACAACTACATTTCGCCATCTCAGACCCATTCCTCGATCAGTTGTCAGCGCCATATTGACCGTCAAATGTAATTTGTGGGGGTAGGTGTTGCTCTGAAGAGATCATTCAAAGGTTTGATTCATTTGTCTGGTACAGGTGTATGGTCGTGAATAAGGAGCGCTCCCAGGATGTTGAGTTTTTAATTGTCGTGTGCTGATGTTGAAATTTCAGGGTTTTTTTGTGCGAGCCTTTGGACCATTGGACCATTTGGACCATATGCCAAGACTTGTACCATGGCTGCGTTGTATGTTATTTTTTGGTGTTTTTTTCCGTGCTGTGTATTGTGAGCCGTCGAGAGAGAGAGAGAGAGAGAGAGAGAGAGAGAGAGAGAGAGAGAGAGAGAGAGAGAGAGAGAGAGAGAGAGAGAGAGAGAGAGAGAGAGAGAGAGAGAGAGAGAGAGAGAGAGAGAGAGAGAGAGAGAGAGAGAGAGAGAGAGAGAGAGAGAGAGAGAGAGAGAGAGAGAGAGAGAGAGAGAGAGAGAGAGAGAGAGAGAGAGAGAGAGAGAGAGAGAGAGAGAGAGAGAGGATGTCGCAGTGGCACTGAAGAGGAAAGAGAGAGAGAGAGAGAACGTTATGATTAACGAGAGCCGTAATCGCCGTTAGGGCAACCAAGAGGAGTAAGACACTATGTTGTCTGCGCTTAACCATGCATTCGAGCCCCGTTAGGAACAAAGGATAAGTGCTAAACCTCTGTCATGAAAGGTACTCAGTTTTGTGACAATAAGAATATATGCGCAATCTAAGATATTGTCATCCACTCTTGTTACGTTTTTGAGCACTACCTATCTCAGTTTTTCACAGATTTTGTTGGCAGATTTCATTTCGTTGCGATGGTAGATCTCGTGGATGGTTTGTTTTCTTGGCCTTCAGTGAGTATTCAAATGAGTATCACGCAAGCAATTTATATTTTTGTTTGGTTCACCGTTGGCGTATTCGTTGTTAGCAAGTGCTGGTTCGACGCGGTTGAGGTCAGCATGAGAAAGCTCATAGAACATGTGCACAATGCCCTTCGAGCAAAGAATCTAGCAACACTCTTTTTAGGGCATTCACATTTTGTGGGCATGCTCTTTAATTGACTGTACCTAAGTGTAGAGAGGAAGAGAGGGAGAGAGGGAGAGAGAGAGAGAGAGGCGTGTTCTTAACTTCCCAG